TTCTTAATTTCTTTTTTTTTGAAAAAGTTGAGTGTATTTTGCTAATTTTATGGTAATTTAATCAACCGGCGCCAGATTTTTTTTTTACAAATTTATATTAAATAAAATTACATCAGTAATTTTTTTTCATTTTTACAAATTGAATTTTATAAAAAATTTTGTTGTAAAAATCTTAAAAATCAATGTTTTTATTTAAAGTCTTTAAAAATTTATTTGCCATCAAATAATTATAGTGTTTGTTCGCAAAATAATAATCACTGTAATTATTTGCAGCGCCAGCATAAAAAACTCAAATTATGTATATTAAACGCCACGTGATTAATCTTTATTAAATAAACGTAAAAATATTTTTATTTAAAAGATTATTCGTGCTTTTTTTTTTTGTAAAAAATTATGAATGAATTTTATTATAAGAATCAATAATATTTATTGCTATATAACTTTAATATTGATACTAGTAATTACTGCAATTATTTTAAATACACTCTTTTGACAGCAAAGCTAAATAATCTTATAAAAAAATTTATTGAATTATTTTTCCTTAAAAAATTATTCAATAATTTTTTATTAGAAAATTTATCTAGTAATTATTTATTAAAAAAATTATTTAATAATTTTATAAATAAAATTGTTCAATAATTTTTCATTAAAAAATTTACTTGATGACTTTTACAATTAAAAATTATTCAATAATTCTAGAAAAAGAAGATTTTTCATAAAAAAAATATTCAATAATTTTATTAAAAAATAATTTAATAATTTTCTAAAAAAAAATTATTTAATGATTTTTCATTATAAAAATAATTGAATAATTTTTCATTAATAGAATAATTTTATAATTTTTCATTAAAATAATAATTTAATTATTTTTTCATTAAAAAATTTTTTAAAAATAAATCATTCAACAATTTTTCATTAAAAGAAAATTATTTAACAACTTTTTATCAGAAAAAACTATCCAATAATTTTATAAAAATAATAAAATTACTTACAAAATAGTAGTATTCGTCGGAACTCTCGGCACCAAAGTAATTCCTTGATACATACATCTGACACTGGAGTGATAGCACCAACATTTATCAGGACAATTACTAAAAAAACTATTTTTTTCCAGCGTCTGGACCTCTAATCCCAGAATCAGCCCCAAAAGCACCAAACCGCAGCATACCTCATTGAAAAGTTTCATTTTGCCGTCGAGGAGTCGCCGTAAATCAGCACCAAGTAAGTAAATCCATGAATAAAAAACCAATTAAAAATATTTTTTCCGGTAGTCTTGGAAGATCACATTGCCAGTTTGATTTCTTCTTCACAAAACTGATATTTAATTCAATTCAATGCAAGCAGCATGTACACTTAATAGTACGTGGGCAAGAATAAGCTGCCGAGCAACCAGCAACCAGTAATATGTTGAATATACACATTAAAACCCACGAATCCACAAGGCAATAAAAAGACTAAGAACAAGTATGAGAAGAAAAGAAAGAGAAGGAGAGTGAGTTATTTGTTGGAAGATGGAGGAAGAAAATAGAAGAAAAGGTAGAGGCCAGTCGAGAAGGTACAAAAATTAATACTTAACTATAAGTATAAGTTCAAGACACAACAGTAGGAGTGATCAACTAAGACTGAAGACAAGCTAAGATTCTAGAGTTATTCAGGCAAGACTGGGAATATCAGTATCTATGTATAAGTACTCATCACATGTGTACGTATAATATAATATAATAATATTAAATTTTATTATTATTATTATTATTATTATTATTATTATTATTATTATCAATGATTAAAACTTTTTCAAATTTTTAGAAATGAAATAATAATAATAATAATAATAATAATAATAATAAAAATATTGATATATTATTATTATTATTATTATTATTTTTATTGTTTCTTCATTTTTAAAAACTTGAAAATTTTCAAATAATAATAATAATTATTGTTTCAAAAATCTTGATATTTTATTATTATTATTTGCAAATTTTCAAGCTTTTAGAAATTAAGAAATAATAATAATAATGCTAATAATTTAGAAATTTTGATATTATTTTTATTATTATTATTATTATTTTTATTGTTTCTTCATTTTTAAAAACTTGAAAATTTTCAAATAATAATAATAATTATTGTTTCAAAAATCTTGATATTTTATTATTATTATT